AGGGGACACCTTGGATAGAATGCCAGTGCATCACAGGCTCTGAACACACACACCACGGGCAATTAAGACACCTAAATATGCCTGACTGCATTTTTTGGAGTAAAGCAGAGGACTCCGGAGAAACCCATGCTGATTCCTTATGCAGCTGAGGTGTGATTCAACCCCCAATCCTGGGGATGTAAGCCGACAGTACTGCCACTGAGACACAGATTCTTACATTACTCAGGAATATTTTTATATAACTGAACGATAACCATACATATTATTAACTGAGCAAACGCTGATATCCTCAGTGACGAACATTCCCAGAGGCACGGCGATGTAAGATATTAAGCGAGACAACACGAACACTCAGAAATATTACAGTACATATTCTTCTGTGTCGCTGTAAGTACGGAAGACCAGCGATTTCTTAAGCGGCAGACTGTTTCGTGGAGTCATGCAAGACGGCTTCAGCATCCATTAATATCCCCTGGCATGTCGGGGACAGACCGTTTGATCTCTGACTGTCATTTGATTTAAAGTACCCTATTTTTAAAAACCTGTAACAGGTGAAGCAGCTCAGTGCTATTAGTCTGCAAGGTTTGCTAATGCAGCAACACATTTCATGCACTTCTGCACCCAGCAGAATAGAAAGCAGCTTCTCTGCATTGAATCAACTTGGGAGCAGCATTTATTGTGCATTTCAAAGCTAATAAAACCAAGAATTCAAAACATAAATATGCGGTTACGTTTGAGCCACATATAAAATGCTTCTGCCAAAGGTAGGGGGCGCTACAATTAGCGAGCTTAGAAATTGACTGGATTCTGTACATAGATGTGGTATCTAGTTTACAGGTTCTATGCAATGTTCAAAGTAATTTAAGGAAAAAAATGAAATTATTTGACCATAAAGGAAACTTTTCCCATTATCACCACTTTCAGGGAGCAAGGGGGATAGTAGTTAAGAACATAGACTTACTATGAGTTTACTCATTATGAGTTCCAGGGGAACCTGCTGTCATACTTTCTAGAAAGTACTTTATGTAAACTGCTTCAGTAACTTAACAAGCAGTATTGTTGGATAAATAACTGCAGGTCAAAAGAGCATCTAAGCATACATTATAGTAGCTAGCCGATTGTAAAGTTATATGCTTAAATTAAGTCAGTACCACAAAACAGCAAAACTGCTATGTCAGCAACCATCACCTAGAACCATATTTTTTTAAGCAAAAGATTTTGTCTGAGTAATAAACTGTAAGTGTGGTAGTCAAGTCAACTGGGCTTTACTGTCCTACCGGCCATATACAGGTATATGGTGGCATGAGGTATGACTACCCCTGAGACCCGGGGGGGGGAGAGTATTCTCAGGAACAGCTACAGTACATATACAAAGCATGGGATTCTTTGATTTATTGAAGTTAAAATGGCTCCTCTTCCTGTGTCTTTGTAGCATGGCACAGATTTCAATGCATACACAGCTGATGAGTTTATCGCCTGTCCTGTCTGTCTAAACCACCCCTCCCCGCTCCATCCGAAAACCGCCGGCTTCCCTCCCTTCAGGTGCCCCCCCCCCCCCCCCACCCTTCCTATGTTTGCTTTAGCAAGGGATCTCAATGAAGTTGGGAAATAACCCCCCGCCCCCCCCCCCCCCCCCACCCCCAACCCTGTCCCCATGAAAACTAATTTGCCAGCACCCCCGTTCATCTACAGCAGTTTGTTCAAAGAGATTCACACTTCTAACATAACACGACTTATTTTGAACGTGTAGGTGGGGGGAAAAAAATGACACAATAGCACGGTGGCTGTTGCTGTTTCCAAAGCCAGATGTGCAAATGGAGGCGCGGTACCTCACAGCCAGCCAGCGGAGACTGACGCTTCGGTTACTGCACATGGCAACGCATTAAACTTGCTGTGAGAGACACTGAACCGTGTACAAAACGCTGCAGCCCTGCACGCCGGAACCACGCTGTGATGGAGGCCCCTTTTCATCCCCATTTCCAGGCAGATTCATTGTTTTTATTTTTTTCCAAGACTCTTTCCAAGAAACTTTTCGGTGCCTAAATAAGCATCATTATCTTTCCAGAGTGGTGCCTATTTAAAATGGTTCCGATTCCGATTTTTTTTTTTAATTAAGCATGTTAGTAGAGTGGGTTTGCTTCAGTTCATTAATAACTAGTAATGAGAAACATCCTTATCAGCATTTTGTACATCGGTCCTACTCGTTTTAATTGCTTTTTAAAGCCGTCTTCTGATAGCATTCGCAATGAGGGAACCGGTACCTGGATTAGCGTCATTTCACACTGAAAATGCAGACCAGCAAGACGTGAAAAGAACACGACAACGAACGGACCTGCGTTTCAATGAACGGGATTACACTATTTGAGATTGTACATACACGTTACGTTTCCATTTGCCCTCCGCTGAAGATTAGGCCTATAGAAGCGGGATTAACTGGCCATTCCATATTTGGAGGAAATTTCAAAGTTTAGGTGAACGTGGGATTATGAGTTACAATTAACCCATGTAACAGAAATGGATTTCATGTAAAAGTAATACTTAGACTGGATTAGCACTTCCTATTTTCATTACTATGTAAAATGGGTCATATTTCACGAAGGCTTCATATTAATAATTCTGCATATATGAACAGGATGGTGGCTCATTGGGCAGCACTGTGGCTTCTTCTGGGCTTAGGAGTTCAAAAACCACATCTGCTCTCGGTGAGAAGTTTGCATGCCCTCCTCGTATCCTGCAGTCAGGCTCCAAATTGCCAGATGAATATGTTTGCTTTTGTACACCTATGGACTGCTATCTCATCCAGGTTGCTGTCTGAGATAGGCTCCACCTCCCACCAGACAAGGATGGTTAGAAAACTAATTAGAGCACATATTCATCAAGTTCCTTCACACACATTTACATATTTATTTATTTAGCACACTATTTTACCCAAGGTGATGTACAATCTGAAGTTGGGTCAGCCAGTCCCTGGAGCAATTCAAGGTTACGGCCCTTGCTCAAGGGCCCAACAGTGAAATCGCTCAGTCAACCCTAGAATTTGAGCCAGTGACCTTTCAATCACACACACAGCGTTGTAACCCACCGAGTCACACACCACGTCACAGGAAAAATGCAAGGAGCATCATTTTGCTGCAAATGCCACAGGTAAAAATAAAAAATAAAAAACAGCTCTCAATTTCCATGAAATTACGTAACAAATGTATGCAAATGGACGGTTTCTAACTGCTGCTGGTCTAAATAATTCTGATCCCCCCGTTCTCCAAGGCAATTTGCTCCCGGGAAAACTCGCATACGAGTAGCCTTAATGTTATTAATCAGCGGGGTGTAAACAGCACCTTCAGAAGCGAGAGCGGACATTTATCTTTTAACAGAGCCGTCACTCGCCGCGGACGGCGAAATCACCCCCCGCCAGTCTGAACCGGACGGCAGTTTGCTGCCGTTTTCCTTCGCGCTTGATTTAGTTTATTACTGCAGGGCAGCAGCAGATGGCAAAGTCGGCATCTGAATGTTGCTTAAAAATCCCGCAAGGACAAGATTCGGCTCTTCATAGAAAGTCACTGCACATTGCTAACCTTACTCATTTTTCTCAATGTGTAAAATCACGTGTTTGCTTCTGACAGGGAGGAGTCTCTAAGCACCCCTGCCCCCGCCCTGAGATCCAGGGGCACTGGCTGGGGTTCAGAGACTTCAGCCGAGCGCCGATCGATAATCAGCCTGTCCGCTCTGTGCAGGAGATGACTCATGAAGATAGACCACAGAAAATAACATCAATCCACGCAGGGGACGGCGACTTGGGGCTTTCATGGCAGATGACAGAGAAGCATAGCTTGCGATATCGAATGCTAGCGATTAATGCAACTCTTTTCCTTGTAGAGAGAGTGTGTGTGTGTGTGTGTGTGTGTGTGTGGGAGGGGGGGGGGGGCTTCCACTAAAACAATTTTTTTCCTGCACAATCATCAACTAAATATGAAAGGAACATGATAACACTGAGCTTAACGACACGTTTAAAATACTAATGCCTACGCATTTAAAATGAATATAAATACATTTAGCCTCAAGTGTCCTACCGAAGAAAAAGCTCATTTCTCCGTCATGACTGAAATAAACAGCTCTGCTAATCTTTCACGGGGACAGGGCAACAAAACCAAAATATCATGGTCATATACAGAAGTTTGTGCACATGACATGAATTAATAAAGGTTTCATTTATTCACACACACATTCTTGCACAGAAATAAGTAAAGCATCTTGCTCTGTAGTGCAGGTGGGGAAAAAAAAATCCCCAGAGTAAAAAGAAAAAAAAAAACAGAAAATAAGATTAAATGAAACCCTGGTATCTTGGTTTGCACCTTCCCCTGAAAGTGTAAGATATAAATCCAGAGAACTAATAAATAAAATGAGGTGGGGAGAAAAACACAAATACTGCTCCGATTCAGACAGGACTTCTGCTTTTTCTTCTGGACATTCTGAGCAGTGACCAAATTCAAGCCTCCCTTTGTCACAACAATACATTATTATTATCATTACTATCATCATCATCATCACCACTTGCTGTCTATATGTTGCACTATCATCCTGGGTGGACGTTATCTCACGCCACTGAATAGCTCATGGGAGTTTATGTTCTGAGGGCAGAACAAAAAATGATTGGTTCACAGAAATAACCAATCAGATTGCAGAGTGGTGGATCCAAGCAACTACAGGAGGCAGGGCCAGCCAATTAGATGTCTTGGTCACACCTCCTCCAGTTGTTTGGACCCACCTCCTCTACAACGTGATTGCTTAGCTTGCTGAACCAATCATTATTTGTTCTGCCCTCAGAACATTTTTGTGTGAGTGAAACTCCCAAGAGCCGCTGTATACCTGTATGACAGTAAAGTCCACTTGACTTGACTTGACTTGAAACGATCACAGACGAACACAGGAAGTGAAGACAGGACAAGCTTTGTGATTTGAGCAGATCCCAGGAGGCGAGAGCACCCCCCCCCCCCCCCCCTTACCTTGGCGGTGGCGGTGCTGGAACTGGAGCCGATGCGTTTACACGCCAGCTCATTGCTGCTGGTCGTCACGGCGACCGTCACAGGGCTGGGGAGCAATGAGGGGATGACGGGCAAGGGCAGCAGTCCCGGCCGGTTGTTGCCGCCTGTCCCCACGCAGCCGCCGCCACTGTTGCAGTTGCCGTTGTGGCCGTTAAGGGCCACACCGCGATCCCGCCGCTCCCAAGCACCGCGGTAATCCCGCTCGAAGCGGTTGTGGTGTCGGGACATCTCCGCCGGCGTGCGCTCTGCCTCAGAGTGAACTCAAGTCGGCCTGGGAGGAAGGGAGAAAGTGGAAAGCCCTTTAGGGGTGTGTTGACGGGGCAACACTGGAGCCGGAGCTCACGGGAGCCACAGAGGCCTCTGATGACAGACCGAGCTGTGAGCGCTTCACAGGGTGAGCTCCGAGCTCACAGGTCTAATCTCTGCCATCCACCTGGAGAGTTTACATCCAAACCAGCATTATGTGAAGTGACGGCCCGTTGGGACTGCATCCTTTTCATAATTGCATTTAACAGCTTTACAATTTAAAAATTACGTCAAATTTAAGTAAATCTGTATTTACGCAAAACTATCCGAGATACATAGTTCACAGGAATGTCATTTAAACACCTTATCTTTTCATTTATTTCATATGTGTCCTTTAGTATATAATTACTAATTAGTTTCTGCTGGAAAGTCTCTCGAATGGTATAGGAAGATAAATCCAGCTTACATAAGGGTTTGTGGAACAGATTACTGACATAATTTCTGAACCGCCTGAAAGCACTGCTGTGCTTGATACAATGCTTCGTGTTTATAATTGAACTTTCTATGGCGGTTCTGTGCATTATGCCACTGGAATCTGACAGACAAAGGTGATCATTCATGTACCGCTGTGTGACCTGCTCTCTTTCAACATCAACCCCCCCCCCCATGAATTTAGTGATGAGCGAAGGTGTTAATAAGTGTCGCCTTCGTCGCCCAAGTCTGCCACACAAGAGATGACCTCATAAAAGGCCGACGCCAGGATCTTTAACGCAAGCACCTTGCAGTAAGGAGCAGGACAATGCGGCCATCAAGGATTTGCATATGGGGCCGTGACCCAGCAAGACGCACAAAAATGACCCGCTTATGAAAACTGACTGCATGCATTCATGAATAAATAACCTGCTTGATTATGACAAAACAACATCAAATTCATTGGATGTCAAATTATAAAAGATAAGTATTCATAAATATGTCTCGTGTTTAAGATTTACACACCAGCCTGCATGCAGTGTCTTGCCACTGACAGAGAAAATGCACGACTGTCCAAGCTTGAGGATTTGTGCCCAGAACAATTTTTCCATTGTCCCCCACCACAAACCCCCCCCCCCCCCCCCGTCCCAGGCCCAGGCCCCCCCACCCCCTCCAACCCATACCGAGTGCATAAAAGATTTTTCATCAGAGTTAGGGAACTGGAACTTATGGCTGGGGTGACTGGCACCACAATTATGACAATTATGAACGTCTTCAAACAGAGTCCCTGCAGAAAATCGGAATCTGATGGCAGACGGAGGCCTCCCAGTGCTGCAGAGAGCCCATAATTGGCGCTGCCATGCCGTGTGTGTTGCTCAGGACAGAATTGGAACAGTGAAGCGGAGCCTAACCAGCCTCAGGAGACATTCCAGGAGCTGATGTGGTTTACACTCCAGCACACAAGCTGCAAAACGCTATATTTTTATGTTGGATAGTGTTGCTAACATTCACCGGTTCGTATTCTCAGCGATTTCACCTTTGCATGTGGCCTTTCCAGCACCTACATGCACCCCCTTAATGTTTTGTTTATTTATGTTTATTGGACCCTTTCTCTGAAAGTGATATATGTTTGTTTTTAAGGAAGCAGGGTCACCAAGTCCTTGGAGTAATTGAGGACTAAGGGCCTTGCTCAAGGGCTCAACGGTGAAGCCACACAGCTCACCATGGGATTTGAACCAATCACAGACAGAGAGGCCTACGCTAATGAGCCACACACCGAGGGTTTTCTCGAACCTCCAAGGAAAACGAGACAATAGGCGAAGAACTTTACCGCTTTCTTGCTGGTTTATTTGTGGACGCTGTATTAGCTTATTAGCTGACGGCTGAATCAGCTCCACCATCAGAGTGATTGACCGTCTGCAGACAATGGGCTCCACATGGCTGCAGGCCATCTCACCTCTCCCAACCAATCGGATTCCAGCATGGCCAATAGATTTTATTTAATCAAATTTTTTTTTTCAGCTCCTGCCTTGTGGTACTTCAGCCTGCATTAATTTAACTCCAATCAAGGCTGTACGTGAAAGACATGACTCCATAATGGAATCTGCAGGGGCCATGCGTACATGTATGTGGGTAGATGTGGGCTGGCCTCAAGAATAAAGATTGCAGCTCTGATTCAGACGAGCTCTGCTAGCTGAGAGAAACACGACCACTAAGAGCTGCCGATGTAGCTAATGCTGCTACGTAACACTAAAAATTTTGAGAGGTATGAGTGAGATATTATGAAGGTTCCTCATTTCCCAAACACAATAAGCAACTGAACGATAAGACATTGAGATAGTTTGAGAAATAAAGAGTTTACCACAGGAAAGGCAGCTTGATCACTGTTTGACACACAATGTTATAAACTAAACTAAAGATCACGCTTTCATCTTTCATATACACTGGAATTTTACTATTTATGTATAAGTGGCATAGCTCTATCTCACGTGTCGATTTCTCCAACATTTTACTCTGTTACCTAAGAAAACTGGAGCAATTAGGATGATGCTCATGACTAATTAAGTGGCATGATCAAACAGAATGGGTATGCCGTATGGGCCTAATTAGCTAAATTAGATCACAATTAAGTGTTAAGTCTTGGTTATGACGTGGAATGTATGTCACACAGAGCTACTGTATGCGTTGGAGCAGTTAGCTAAACACAGGGAACAGTAACGCTGCAGTCATCAGTCTGTGGATGTTATCCAATTAAAAAAATAAGTTCCGGCTCTCTCTTCTGCTTCCGTTTAAGGTCGCAAGCACAGCACTCTGTGTCAGGGAAATGCCTTTGTATCTTGCCAAACTGTCTCAATGAGATGGGCTAGGATAAAGGGCGCTTTTCCACTGCGCCAGGTACGGACTTTAGGTACTAAAAAATCAGTACTTTTTGCATTGATTTCCAGTGCAGTACCAGTACCAAAGTACCAAACCAGCAGGGATACTCATGCAGAGCTCATGCAATATCAGCAGCGGTAAACTTTAGATACATTTTTTAACATATACTAGATAATCACCGCCACCACCAAAGTAAAAGCAATAACTAATATTGCAAAGCTTGCTAAGTTTTGATTCCTATTACAAAGTAAAAATATTTTGCCACAATTTAACCACTCAAATGTTGTTTTTGAAAAATCTGTGCACCACAGTATAATATCCAGACAGTACGGAGGCATGAAAAAACCTGACCTCAACAGCTATTGTGATCCTTGAGATGTGAGAATTGCATGTGCATAACATGAAATGTCGATATTAATATTGCATAATATCTCCTTAATATTGCACGAAACACCCTGCCTCATGTCGTCACGATGTCACTCTACACACCAGTGGATAGCAAACACAGGTAGTACCACAAATATTGTTGTGAAGTACCGAAAATTTGGTGCCTGTTGCAGTGAAAAAACACTAAATGATGAACTTCACTGATCCCAGTGGGAAATTCTTGTGCATACAGCAGTTATTTAAGGTACAGAACAAACAGACATATAATGCAAAACAAGACAAAGTGCAAAGACAGTACTTACAGTACTGACAAATTAAGGTGCACAAACAGAATATCCTGAAAAAGAATGTGTATAGTGAGGTAAATGTGCAAATAGATCACATGGGGCTTGAACTACAACTAAGGTGGGATGCTTCATGACCTGTTGTGGCTGGGAGTGGGGGGGGCACCATGTAGGAAGGTGGCATTGTAGTGCCTCAGGCTCATTCTATGTCACTCTATTTAATAATCAGTGTAGTGACTGTTTGTGGCCAGCAGGGGCGACGGTGGGGAGGGGGGCAAACCTCGTGGACCCCATGCAAATGTGGGTCTTGTGGGCTGTGAACAGGGAACAGCAGTCACGGCCGTGTCACGCATCATCATGGCGGGGGATTCGTCGATCCCCGAAGTCGGCCGCACCAAATGCCAGGTCACTTATTTAAATCGGTCACCTCTGTGCTGCTCTGACCTCAGTGCTGGCACCACAGTGTGTGTTTTCAGCCCAGCTGAGCTCTTAATTAATTAGCCCTTTTTCTGATTAAAAGAACTGCTGGACTCAAATCAGATTACATGGCGACCACCCGTGCTACTCCCACACACATCAGCAATGCCGGCGCGTGATGAGATGTTGGCGAGAACGGGGACAGTGTGCCACTCAGCAGGTTAGGTCACTGTGTCTGTGATCGGAAGGCCGTTGGTTCAAATCCCATGGTGGGCAGAGCGATTTCACCGTTGGGCCCAGAATTATTCCAGGGACTCACTAATCCTGCTTCTTCTCAGTCGTATACCTCTGGATAAAGGCATCCGCTAAATGAATAAATGAAAGAGGAGCAGGATAAGAGAGAATGCGGGGTGAAGCCAGGTGATGATCCTCTCTTTTGTTAGACATGTGCCTCGTTTTAATCCATACAGGATGCGGCTCTGTTGTTCCCTCAGCCAAATGCTGATCCTTGATCCCACACTCTGCTGGAGCTATTTCTCCAATTTTCTCTTGTTGTATATTTCTTTTGCTAACACCAAAATGGCTGCCTTTGCTTTTCATCCCTCCATTCCATCTTATTGAACCCATCTCCATTGACTTCTCTTAGCCCTGTGGCACAAATCTTTGCCTGTCATTCTTCCTGTTATATGCATGTCATCTTCCTTGGGACATACACAGATATATGTTAGATTTTTAACTTGCTATGTGGCCTGTGTTTCTTGGGTAAATTATGCGTGAGATCCAAATGTGTGTAGATCCAAATAAAATATGAGAATAATCAGACAAACATTATGTTAATATCCTGGCAATTACTCTGCTTAGGGGTTCCAACAGAAATGGAGGAAGGATGGAAAAATCCCAGAACATCGGTAAGAAATATGCATTTTAGATTGTGCACAGTGTGGGGTTAGTAATTGAGTAAGACAGGCTGAAGTATCAGAGACTACTGAGAGGTGAATCATGGGTATGAAGATTATTTTAAAAATCATAAAAGGCCAATGAGGAAAAATAATTCTTTCACCAAAACCAGTTGTGATGGACAGTAATTACC